TTTAGTTCACATTTACATTTTAAATGTGATAATGATTTATTGCTAACTAGTTGTATGTTAATGACATATGCTTATCATTAGTAAGTGATAATAAATTATCTCATAAATATAGGTAAATAACGCAATGACACATTCTTAGAGCAAATGTTCCAATATTGAAATATTATTTCTTATATTTATATCACTGTTATTCCCGTTACATTGAAATTTGTTAACTACGAATTACTTTAAAATCAAAATACTTGTCACACCTAATTTTCAATAGATTGAAATAACCAATTTATTGTTCATATATTTGCTTTATTACAATAATAGTTTTTTTATCACTCATTTTATCACTGAAGTAGCTGTCTTATCATCGATACAGTTTTTTTTTTATTGCTTCTATGATTGCCCTATGAATTTTATTTACCACTGCAATAGCTACTTTACCACCTTATCATTTATATAAGCTATCTTATCATCAAGAATATGCTAACTGATAATTAATTATACTATCTAAGTGATACTGTACTTACATTCCTTCGTAACACCAAACCACATTGACCTATACGATTTATGGGAATTGAAAGTGACGGTGTCGTAGTGTTTTCGTTGAGTGTATAAATCGCAGCGCATCCGTTGCTCCGTCGCCAATTCTTGATGAAAACAACACCTTCAAATGATTCTTCGGTTGTACCTTCGATCGTTATATTCTCCGGTCCGCATACTGCTTCAGGCATTCCTATAACACCATTAAATTTTTTATTACTTCAAATTTTTAAAATTCCTTCAAAGAATTTCTCTAAAAATTTTATATGCAAAGAGAAGCATAAAAATTCAAGGGAACATTGATTCATTTTGATAGAAAGAAAGAAGAAATTTTTAAACAAAATATGGGTTTAAATGTAAATTTTCATTTTTCTTTAAAACTGATAATATTTCTAATGTTTGAAAATGGAACCTAAGTAGAAGCACTATAAAACTAACCTATTAATTTATTATCGATTGTTTTCGCCGTAACAGACTGAAAGTAATAAATCAATGATCAAAATTATATAAATTTATTTATTTGTTTAATTGACATAGCATCAGTTTTATATATTATCATTTTTAGATATCATTAAAATATAAAAAGTTCTTCTGACATCGATAGCAAATGTTTTCTCTTTATTTTCCTTTTTTTTTATATTTTTATTAAGAATTTGATTTGTCGAATAGTCATAATAAACATATAACTAGAAAAAAAGTTTTTTTCGTTTTCGTTAAAGGACATACTAGGAAGAAGTTGAGAAGAAATTGTAGAACCGGAAAAAGTTGTAGCATAATCCTGGAAAGTGAGAATGAACAAGGAAATAAGTGAGCAAAAATAGCTCAGCAATAGCGGAACAAATTATTTGCTGTATATGGGATTAAGCGAAGAGAATGAACGGAAAAATGGAAACCCGGCGGAGGAGAGGCGGAAATAGTAGAAAGAAGAATGAGGGAAGAAAAAGGCCGCCACAAAATGAGGAAATGAAGAAAACGGAGTATGAAAATGACTTTGCACAGGTGTGTATATCTTATAGTAGTAGTAGTAGTAATAGTAGCAGAAACAGTAGTAGTGGTAGTAGTAGCAGTAGTAGTAGTAGTATTGATGGCCTTGGCCTGGTATGAGCGGAAAAAGTTTCAGAAAATGTGGGAGAACTACCCGTTATATATACCATCTTGTACAAAGCAAAAGATATCTTTTTTCATTTCATATTTCTAAATTTCCTTTTTTTGGACATGACAAAACTTTGTTATTTAATTTGTTGAAATTTATAAACAAAAAAGGAAAGTAGCCGATTCTCCTTCGAATAAATATTAATTCATTAGTTTGTTTATATCACTATATTAATTCATTTTCAATAAAAATTATTAGTTTGTTTTAGTTATCATTTATTTACTTTTACTTCATTAATTATACAACATCCCAATTCAACTATTCAATTTCAGTTGTAACTAGTGACTTACTTGATGACACCTTCTAATTTATCAACTTGCAACACTTTATTATCGATACGTTTGTAAATATTTAATCAGCCTTCAATTTGCAACAATGTTACAACTGGAAAAGATTAACTAAAAATGAATGAAACTGATAGCAAGCAAAGTGGAGAAAATGTTACCAAATCATTCCTTTTTTTTGGAACTGATAGTTCTTTTTCTTTTTAAAAAAGATGAAGTAAAAGATGCATAATCATCTATCAAACAAGATAAGAGGTAGGTGTTTGGAAAATATTAAGACGTATTATTACCAATTCAACCTATTTAGCTTTTTTCTTTTCTTTTGACGAAAAATTTAACCTAGTTTTCTACCAATTTCCTCTTTATGATATTATCTGTACATTTGCTGAATGATAAAAGTGCAACAAACTGCATGGTAGAAAAAATTTTTGGATGCTATTAACATTAAATTTTCGAAAGTAAAATGAGCAGTTTCTAGAATCGAAGAGAATAAAAAGCGAGAAAAAAAATTTTTTAGTCGAACCCATACAATAGTAAATGCATTGCTATTAATTCTATATTGTACAAACAGTAGATAAGCATCATTTAATTATTAGTATCATTATCAATATTTTTAATATCATTTATCCTTATGGTCACCTTAATTTCTTAATCCTGTGTTGCGCTTCATCCACAACGTCATGAAGCCCATCTGCATCAAGTTCATCTAGTAATACTCTAATAGCGGAAATAATTCGTGTTTTCCGATGACGCTGCAAATTAGAATCTTTAAATTTTACTGACATTTTAAAATGATTAGTATGCTTAGATTAAAGCAAATGTTCACAATATAAAGGGAAAAAAATTTTTAATTTAACTTACAAGTGTTGAATATGACGTTGATCTTGGAAGGCTGATACTACGCTGTTGCGATAAATGCGAATTGTGAAATTGCTTGAAATCATGAGGCATATCTTGCATACTATGAAACATCATCGGATTTACCTTATCAGATGATGACACTTCTAAGCTAGAAAATAATAATTCTTTTTAGTGACAGTAATGCAAAGATTTTCAATATAAAAGTAATATTGAAGTAATTATACGTAATCACTTTATTGTCTTATTGTTTAAAATCAACCAGCTCTGTTAACAGCTTATCAATGACAATTAATAAGTTAAAAAAAACTTCCTGAAATTATAATTTGAAACGAAATTATTCAACAATGTAAAATCACAGTAAAATATACAAGGAAGAAAATGAAACATTTACTCTCGTAGAAAATAATTCTGAGTAAAACTTATTCAATTTGATATAACTATTTGTTATACCTAATATCGATCGAAATTTTAAACAAAACAGGACGTGATAATGTTGTGCATTACACGTTAAAAATCCAATTTTGTTTACTTTAAAAATTTAAAGTAAAAAGTTAAGATAATTTTATAAATATCAGCTATGTATACAATATTCTTTTCCCACTAACTTTTACTAATAATTCCTTGATGGACAACCAATCAATTAAATTTTAATTGCGACTTTTTTTGAAACAAAACTCCGAATATTCACCGACTTATGTAATTCGTCAGAAATTTCGAATATTGTGAACTTCACATTCACATTAAATTGAAACAAATTCGTGTTAAAATCAATCGTACAAATTGAATCTAAATGTTAGGATAAACAATATTATGAATCATTTATCAATTTCTTATTTCTTATTGAGCCATTTCCTCATGCGTTTTTTGTTTATCTTGATATAATTTTGATTTCCCATCTTTTTTTTTTATTCATAATCATTATTAATGGCTAGAATACCGAAAATATTACACATGTAAAATTTCCTATCCTTTGGTCAATCGTATTAAATATTTTTAGCATAGTTTTCGTTCACAAACCAATTACTGCATCTGAGAGGATCTATTATATACTGCAAACCACTTCCATTCTAACATATATATTTATATGTGAGAGATGTGTGAGATTTACTATAAATTTTTACTCTTTGCCTTCTTCGACTTTAGCAATTACTTTCGACTATACAAAACCAAAGCTCTCTCAAACTCAAACAAATACTCGTCAGTAAAATTAAACCCGAAGTCTTTAACCTGACCAAGCAATTCTCTTCAGAATCTACGAGTAAAAAAAGAACCTTCATCAAAGTTTTGAATGTACAAAACCAAAGCTCTCCCAAACCAAATAAAATTCACTGTATATGTTGCTTAACATTACATAAATGTTTGCTTAAAATCTTGCCATAAATTTCGATTATTATCATTCTGTATTTCAATATTTCCTTCATACACGAATGACTCCATTTGTTTCGGAGATTGTTGCTTAATGTGTCCCGGATTATGGGTTAAATGATTAGGCATTAATTCTTGAATACGAGGATGATTCGGAATAATTTTATCAATAACCGTTCTCTGATCATTTTCCCAATTAATTTCAGTAGCATTCAATAGTTCATCAATTGTTACCTCTGAAAAAAAGAAGTTAAGAATGTAGAATAGAGTCCTTATGACTGTTAAATAATTACACACCAAAATTATACATCCAGTGATGGATGTCATCCGCAATTATTTCGATGTTAGCCAAATAATGATAACAAGGATCGCTAACGATGACAAGGAAAGCAATAGCAGTTGAATAATGATGACAAGGAACGCAATAGCAGCTGAATAATGGTGACAAAGATCGGAAAAGCAGTTGAATAATGGTGACAAGCAATATCAGCTGAATAATAGTGACAAGGATCGCAACGCAGTTGAATAATGGTGACAAGAACCGCAATAGCAGTTGGATAATGATAACCAGTCTATTTTATAATTGCATAATAAAAAGTTAACAATATTTGCCTTCTCTATAGACTAAAATTAAACTAAAAAAATACATCATATAAAAAAAAAAAAAAAAAAAAAGTATGTAAACTAATGTATATATATAGAGTAGAAAACGCTGCTATTGCGTCCTTGTCACCATTATATAGACTAAAGTTAATAATTTAAGATTTATATTTTAATTCCATTCTATACTGATATGCATAATAGATTTACTTACGTTTGTCATCCAAACGTGTAAGATTAGGTAAAATTCGCAAAACTTTCGCACGATGCTTGTTGTCAGCCGTGCATGGATTTTCATCAATCCAAAGAATTCTCAACAGCTTCAGATTTCTCAGATGCTCCAATTCATTTAAACTGCTAATTTCATTTTTCCGAAGATATAATTCTTCTAGCTGCATACAATTCTCCAACGGTTTTAAACATTTCACTCTATTCATACTAAAAATTATCATACTTTATATTAATTGAGATCAGCGGACTAGTTATCTTAATGAATAAACTATATGCTTTAATTAAATATAGACTATCACTGGATTTTTATACTACATACTTTAATTACTGATTTATAAGTCTCAATTCACAATGCATCTTAATCAATGATTTATCACATCCTCTCTCCCTCTTTCTTTCTCGTAAATTTATTGAAGACAAGCAAGAAGAAAAAAACCTAAGAGAAAGGATCTGCAAATTAATCATCTGAGAGCAGAGATCGATGTTATCAATATCACAACCCCTGAAATATGTATATTGAAGATACAGTACTTGACATCACGTATACCACATACTGTTTCATGATTTATAATGATGTTATATTAAGTGGTTATAAAATTGGAAGATTTTTTCAATGCAAGTTATATTTCGCAGGATTACATATATGTTGTCAACGAGCAAATAATAGTATGTAATTGATAATTGAATACAGATTAAAAATTATAAATAAATGATTACAAATATAAATTGGAATAAATATAAATAAAAAATGAACGTTAATAAACAAACAAATACATTTAATCAACCATTTTTTAAAGTAAAGTTTAAGAAAGTCAGAAAATTACCATAAATTCAACTTTCGAACACATTCGACGGTAATTCTGGTACGACTATAAACAATTGATTCAGTTAATCGAACCATAATAATGTAGTTGTCACTATGTTAAGAGTAGATTGGAGGATGAAATAAGAATTGATAGTGACAGTGCTGCATACACGTCTGATGTTATGTCTAGGCTCACTGGGCCAATTGCTTGGCTCACTGCGTTGTATTGTCCTGGGCTCCTTCATATCATCAATCTGCTGTTGTGTTTGCTGTATTGAAAGGATGTCGAGCTAGCAGTGGAAGCTAACTGATCTGGAAAAAAAGAATTCAATTGGGATTTATTACTTCATCATCTCACCCTATTCTTCATTCTGTCCAATTATTACTAATCCATAAATTTCTTTTAATAACAAAAAAAGGGAATGCAAAAAAATAAAATATTACTTCATTTACTAATTAAATTAATTATTAAATTTATATAATTATTTAATCAAAATCTTTCAAATACAGCAAGTTTAATTCTTGTAAAAATAATGATTCTGAAACGAAATGTTTTTATTATTTTCTGGGCACTAATGCAAAGAAAATGTTTCTTTTTTTACTGTATTCTGCATCAAAAATTAAATATTATTGAGTTGCAGCAGTGGTTGGGAGTTTCAACCGGATGGTTTCAAATATTTCATGAAGAGAATTGAATGTGAGCCAACTTCATAGGTTCCGTCCTTTCTCTGCGGGTGTGTTTGTGTTGTGTCTGTACGTGTGTGCGTGTGTCTGTGTACACAACACTTTTTGCATACTTTAAATTTACTTCCTCGTTCGTCAATTTGAATCTAAATTTAGCGGTTGACCTCTCATTTTCATTAGTTCTCACGTGCGTGACTATTTGCATTATGTTATGAATTGTCTATCTGTGGATTTACTGAGAGTTTCAATATTTTATTGGGAATTTCAACTCGATACTTGAGAGCTGATCGTTAGAAATTGTTTACTGCTGTAGTATGGATATATGCCGACACGTGTTTACCAGTGACTTTGCCACCACATAATGACCAAAAATTCATTTCACAGTGACTAAATGTTTCTTCAATCCGTTTTGTAAAACCACTGTGAATGCTGCTATTTAGAAGTGGCGATGAGAAATGGAGTTGTCGGGATACGTGGACGTTTACGCAGACGATGTACGGCATCCTTGAACGACAGTCAAATCTGTCCCAGCGAAGAGGAAGCACCAATCATCAAAAAAGGTTTACTTCTATTACATTAACTGATTAAAATGCAGGTATAGCTATCAAATATTGAACGTAGCAATGGATACTTTAGCTAAAAAATCTCTTCGATCTATTTGGAATAAGGTTCTTGTAACTATTAGAAAAGTTTAGGCTGAGGCTTATAAAGACATTCAGAACGGGAATCTTCGTCACAGCCTATTTGCTTTGTCTGAAATCTTTTTTATGAGTTAGTTGTGAATTATGGAATTTCATTTCCATTTTATGTTATAAACGGCATTTCATATTGTTAACTGATACGTAGACTTTAGGGTGTCTCATGAAACAGTTAAGTTTCACTTCGTATTTTAAATTTCTTATTCAGTTTTTTTTTTTTTTTTTTTGCAATTAATCAATTTTTAGATGTTAATAGAGCAGTCATTCCTCATCGTTTACCACGTGTTTCTCGAAATGAAGCTGTTGGAGATCTGGACAGCTTTTCTCAACGTCACGATTTTTCTACGGGTTCGTTTATAACTCAAAATCTGTTACCAGCCTGCTTTTTGTTTTCATGAAATTCATTACTGTAAGGAATATGATTGCAGATGGGTTTCTGTATTTTTGAATTTTTAATAGACAGTTTGCACTAATTCTTGGTTTCATATATTGTTGGATAGTATTAAGATTTTTTAAGCCTTTTGGGAAAGTAGGAGTTTATTATTATTGGCTGTGTATGCTGATGTGTCTTTAACATTTCTGTAGTTTTTCAGACTTTACAAAAGATAAGGATGATTCGGATGGTGGACAGTATTTGGCAAAGCGGAAATTTTATATCGTTGCTGATGGTGAGTGAATAAAAGAAAGCGAATATTTTTGTTTGAACATCTAATTGAAAGTACTTACTGCCAATTTTTTCCCCAAATATCCTTTATTTCATTTTAATTTCTTTTCAATTTTTTGTGCATGTCTTTTAGGCGGAGTCCCATCAGAATTATACAGAACGGATTTATTACATAGAATGAAACAAGAAGAGGATAGCGATGCATCATCGGATGATGAGACAGTATTTGTATCAATGAGTGATCGTTGGAAAGAGGAATGGAATCATGGTGTGCAGGTAATATTTTTTTATCTTTCTAATATCTTTTTGTTATTTTGTATCAGAATTTCGAACTTCATTGACCTAAATAGTGATGTAATCTAGGTTCCACTGTCTAAAAAGTTGCCAGATTTTGTCGTTCACCAATCTCCATGCTCCTCCTCTGTCGTTTCACGGACACAGCCGCGAGTTTCTTTCGAAAGGTGATTTTCTTACTTACTTTAAGGAATCTGCATAACGATTTTTTAATTGCGTTAATTCTTAGTTTTTTATTTCTTCATGCACGTTTGATTTTTGAAGGCACGATTCACTGATCGCAGTTCATGACCGTCGGTATATTGGTGATAAACATAGACGTGTAGTGATGCCGAAATTACGTAACTACCAACCAGATCGACTTGATCGTGCATTTTTATGCAAATTAAATGAAAAACGCATCGCTGTTGGATTGCCACCAATCAGTGAAAAGGTATTCGGCGAAGTTATGGATAAATTGGAAGTTTCTTGCTGTCAGGTATTGCTTTTATTATTATTTTCTTCCACCACTTTTATAATTTATTTGGTTAGGATTTAAAGACTTTTTAGTTTTCTGGATGCAAAATTTCTTAAATCGTGTTGGCTGAATGTCAGATGAATTTCTAATATGTATCTAAACATTGCAGGCAATACACAGCGATCTCTTGTCACTTATTGCTTCTCCCATAGCTTCCGCAGATGCAGAATTTGATGAAAATGTTTGCTGTGATATATGTCGTCAGGTCTGTTCGCTTGTATTTTTCGGCTTTTGATTTTAGAGAAAGTTGTTGATTAGTCTGTTGACCAGAACCATGAATCTCACTCAAATCTTTTTCTATATCAAGCACATATTTGTTTCACAGAAGATCGATGGCGTTGAGTCTTGTTTTTCTAAATGTCTGTTTGGTATTATTATTTTACTACAAACCCAATAAAAAGGCCAGAGTTTTTATTTCTCATTTATAATGTATAAAGTAATTCGTTATTAATTAGGAAAAATGGTAATTACTTTAAGATGAAATTTTTCAGCCGGACTATGAAGAAGATGATAAAATTATATTCTGTGATGGTTGTAATGTTGGTGTGCATCAGTCCTGTTACGGACTCGATTCCGTCCCATCAGATGAATGGCTTTGTCAGAAATGCATGCTTCTGGGCTACAATGTAAAGTTTTTCACTACTTAATCTCAGTTAGAATTTCTAGATGAAGATAACATTATTTAAGCGTGAGAGATATCTGTGAACGTATACTGCCATAGTTACGCTGATGGACAAGTTTTATTGTTACCACCTTATCGTCTCGAAATTTTGAACCTTTCGAATTTTATTAAAATTTTCAAGGCTCTGCCTCAGTGCGTGCTATGCCCACTTACTGGTGGGGCAATGAAGTGCACAAGGGAAGGTGATGTATGGGCACATGTTGTTTGCGCACTTTGGATATATGAAGTGCGTTTCGCGGATGTTGTTCATCGTGAACCAATTGCAAATATTTGTGATATTCCTTATGGACGGTGGAAGCTCCGGTACAATCATTTTTATGTTCCCCTAAGTCAATGAAGGCTTCATGAGCAGAAAAAAAAGAAGCCAATATTAGCTCGTATTGTAGATTTTATGACATCAATTTTTATTGTTGGCCTGTTCCTAGTTGATCATAGGCTTCCCATGTGAATTTCTATGTGTGTTTCAAATGTTTTATAATTTAACTCACTGCTCTTCATTTCAACGTAATGCAGATGTTCAGTATGTGGTACAAAACAAGGAGCTTGTATTCAGTGTTCTATGGAAACATGTACAACTGCTTTTCATGTATGCTGTGCACTTCGTAGTGGACAGGTAAGCAAACTATAGGTTTGAACAGATCTAAGAAATTGTACATATCTATGCATATTTACTAGAATGAATATGTGTATAAATGGATGAGTTAAACATTGAAATGTCTTGCCTTATGGTCAACAATGTGGTTGGTACAGTTATTTTCGGAGCATATCGCATAACAATTTTATTTAAAAGAAAAGGAAAATTCCTTGTTTTTTTAAATGTTATTTTGCTCACTAGAAAATTCTCGTATCATGTATTATCATGCTTTCTCCTATTTTTTGCTGTAGGACAGTTTCTTCCGGTATTAAATTTTTTATTTAATATTAAAAAAAAATTCTTTTATGTCAGATAATGCATATAGAGCATGATAGCGATGATGGCAACGGTGACAACAATGATGATAATGTTCGTATGATTAGCTTCTGCAGGCAGCATTCAATAGAGAAAATGTTTCATTCCAACTTGAAATTCTGCAACCCAGATGCCCTTTGTACAACTGCATTAACGGTATTGTTTAAAAATAATTTACTGGTTTGATTTTCCTAGTAATTTTTTATTACATTTTATTTAGATATGGATTGATTTTAATGTAATTGCAAAATTCCAGCTACAAGAAATGGAGCGCATATTTTTCTTATATGTAACTGTGGAAGGTATTGCTGGCATGCTGTCACTTAGCGAAGATGTGGTTTCGGATATTTACGAATACTGGAAATTGCGTCGCATTGATAATGGATACAAAGCACTGCTGAACGATAAGTCGGAGGTTGAGCGACAAATAGCTCTTCGTCTACGGTCATCCCCCTTTGCTGTTCTTCCTGGTAGACAACGGAACGAAGCGGTAATACGGCAGAATTTGGAAAAGGTCAGTATTTCGTTCGAACTTTTCAGCACTTAGTAAAAAACTGGAGTCAATTCCATTTATATTCTCTACACTTTATTTTCTATAACATGGGAGTTGTATAACTTTTGTAGAATGTATCAATGGTCATTAATCAATTGCTTCCTTATTGTAACAGATACGCCCTATGGTTTTACTTATCTGCGAGTGATTGTTGTAATCTGCAATATGCTATTGTAGTGTGCTACAGTAGTTTACTGTTATGTTATCCGGATCGAGTTACATATTGAGTAGTATATTAGTGATTGCAATGCTGGATGATATTGCTATGTTCATTATAGGCGCGCAATTTATGTTATATGGTAGAAAAACGAGAGAAGACCAAATTATCTGCATTGCAATGCTGGATCGATACATACAAATGTGTTTATCAGATGTTAACTGAAAAAAATGTTCCTTATAGCAACAGAGTCTTAAAACGACTCATTCATGCGGTGAGTTCAATGCAGCAAACATTATTAGACGCAGGTGATATTGCCACTTCACTTGGAAGTTCTCTTGTTTCATCGCCATCGAAGTCGCTGAGGTCACCATCTCCTCCTCGGAAACATCTGTCAGTGGGCAATCGCATTCGTGAAAGGAATGGATTGTCGCATCATTTACGAAAACATGCTATGCAGAAAGTTCTTTTCACTGCAGACACATTTATTAAAAATTCTCAGAAATCGTTTGCATCGGGTCATTATAGTTTGCGGGCATAATTTAAACAATATTCTTGTTCGTTATTTTTCCATTTCGTTTAAATCTTTCTTTTGTGGATTGTTGATGATCGAAATTGTATTGTCTTGCGATTTTTTTTTTTTTTCATTTTTTGTCCAGCTGACATTTCCTGTGATGTGAAGATACGAAAGCTTCTTCTTAGGTATTAGTATGACGGGGAGTCTAAACACATTTTATTACAAAATTGCGGTTTTAGAAGAAAAAATTATTCATTTTCATGAATATAATTCTTCTGCTTTCACTTAAAAGTTCTGAATCGGAATAAATATTTTTTTTTAAATTTTCTGTTATTCAAAGCTGAAGCGATGATAATACATCTGAAAGTTACTTTTCCAAAATCCCTTTCAATAGCAGCCGTGATTGCTTACTGAGAAGTTTTTTAAAAAAATGTTAGGAATTAAACTACAAACATTCGAGTATTTTCGGCATTATGATGCAATGATTTTCAATTTCTATATACAGTCAGTAGCACTTGAAAACGTAATTCTAAATTTGAATTATAATTGACATTTCCTGTGATGTGAAGATACGAATGCCAATAGTATTGACAATCGTATTGAGTGTTGACAAATATTGACAATCGAAGTAGTAATGGTACCATACCATATCACAGGTACTGCTATATTCCAATGACAATCAAAATTTAGTTGCAGAAGGTATTTTAATACTTCAAGTATTAGAAATATTCACTGCATGAGAGAGGAGAAGGAAAAATAGAGTGAACTATAACACTTATTTTCCTTATTTACTCGTTTTTATATGCGACAATTACATTAAGGAAATAAAAAATTTTCTGGTTAAAATAATTTCAACTTCATATTATTAAGGGAATTAGAAATTCCATGGTTAAAATTCAATTTGGCAGTCAAGTAAGTAATATCTCTAAAATCGGGACATACAGTAAATGTCAGTATATCCCTGAATTCGAAGCATCCGAAGACATTTTTCTTTGGTGATTTTTTTCTTGAACAACAATCAAGGATTTGGATAGAGTTTTAATAATTTTCAAAAAGTGGCATAAGTTTCTAATGACGGCAAAATAATTTCTTTGCTCAGTTAAAGTAATTGATCAAGTAATATTCAAACTGAATTCGAAAACAATAATATTTGGTAGAACATATGTGCGAACTTTTTTTCGATTCAGTATTTCGGTGTTTTATAAATTTGATGTTTTATTTGATGTTTATGGGTTTTTTATGGCTAAACATTTCGAGCGATAAAATATTTCCAAACTTTATTAACTGCAAATTATTAGTGTGATTTTCTTTTCTTTTTAATTAAATCAGTAATGAAAGCATTACTTTTGTAGATGAATGCCACATTATATAATATCATAACTAATATTCAGAATACCATTTTTTATGGCTAAATATTTCGAGCGATAAAATATTTCCAATTTACAAAATATTTTATAAAATTATAATGTATTTTGTTGAAACAAAACAATCATTCATTGTAAAAAGGAACTTGAATCAGCACTATATGCACTACATTTTGGTTGGTCTCTTTGAATAAACAGACAACACGGAACAAACATTTGACGATACTTTTTTCCTCCATTATTTTTGAAATTTGAAATTGATTCAGTTTCCTCCTTTTTTAGTTTTAGATATGTCTATACCAACATCTCTACAATAACCTTAATAAGCAATAAGAAAGAACGTTTTTGCTAAGATTTCTAAAGTCAGAAAATTTCAAAAATCTAATTGCTAAAATATAAATTATATATATATATATAAATGATATATATTTATATTCATTTACTTTAAACATTTTTGTCTAAATAATACCGTTTGAATTTTATTTATTGTTTGCCAAAATATTTGTGTATAAAATATTTATTGCCAAAGCATTTGTGTATAAAATTAAAAATTTTTTACCTTTTTAACCAATAAATTCCTAATATTTTGGTCTTACAAGCAATTTATTATTTTTTTTTTTTTTTTTTTTTTTTTATTTTTCCAAATCAATTCATGAAGAAACAAAAATGTGGTATTTTTTATTTGTACTACATCAAAAACTCATTCTAAAAAAAGGACTTTATTAGAATTTCAATTTTCAGACACTTTATATTTATAATTAGCAGTAGCAAGCAAATTTGATATCACTGAAACAGTATATAATTTAGCATGAAGAGTTAATAAATTATTTACATTTCAAAAATTTGATAATTTAAATAAAAGAAAAGACGACAAATTGTTAAAAAGGAATAAAAAAGTTTGAAAAGAAAATGAACTTTCACTTTTTAGCTTTTCTTTCGAAATTTTATACTAAAAATAAATTTTCATTTTTAAAGTTTGATTTAAGTTTTCCAAGAATTTTTTACGCGTTAATAGAACAAATTTCAATAAAAATTACCACTGTTACTGCACTGTTAATCACTACTGACCACTTGCTGATCGCCACTGATCACCGCTGACCACTTGCTGATTGCCATTGGCTTCCACTTCGATCGTTTTTGGAAATTTTTGTCAATGAAAGCTAAAGCAATTAAATTGCTTACATTAATTGTTTGCTGATATTATCTATATATCAATTGAAAACTTTTTTGGTGCAATTAAATGGTGTAAACATATGTTATTGAAACATTGAAAGATTAAATTACTTTTGTAAACAAAAATTATTTTCAAATTTAATAAGGAAAAAAATTTAATACCAATTTGATTATCCGTTCTCTTCTACTATCGAAGAATTAATAAAACAAAAACAAATGGAGAACACAATTATAATAGAATTTGTTTAGGAAAAAGAAATTTTTTTTAAAGTTTTTGCTTATTTTACAAATGCCTGTTTGTCATTTCTAAACTTTTTTTCTCCCATTTTAATATTTTAAAACTTAATATTTCAATAAAATTTTAATAAATTAAACAAATTTCTCAATTTCAATGATTGTTTCTTTTTATTTTCTCTGTAGGAATCATTTTTCTAATTGGGGAAATGATTAATTGATGTAGCAAATTAATGATAATTTATTGCATATATGATATTATATATGAAAATCATCAAAAAAATAACCATCAATTACATTTCATACAGTTTGTTTCACACATTAATTTTCATTTGCTAATTGTTTTTCTGATTTTTTTAAAGATCATTTTTAAATAAAGATTCTAAAAAAAAAAAAAAAATTCACAAACGAGCAAATTATTTCAATTATTTTATTGTTTTCTCAACAAAAAAACGATTAAATTTTGGACGATATTGTAAAGTTTGAATTATAAATCACTTTTCTGCTTGTTTTATGATGTCATCCGATTGGAACTGTATTCTGTTCAATCTAAATTAATAATTCATTTCTTCAAAACAATTATTGCACCGCTATTATTGCTAATTACTACACTGCAAAATATGCGTCATATGATTGTTGACATACTTAGGCGTTGACATACTTTTCCCTCTGCCATACTTTGACCAATTTGTGACATCAAAGAGCAGATCGTATAAATATAAACAATAATTTAAGATTAAAAAAAAAAATTTTTTTTTGAAAATTTTGATCAATAAAAATTGAATGATACTTAGATTATGAATAAAAGATTTTTTCTCTTAGCATTAACAATAATAATAAAAGTTACCACAGTTAAGCATTATTATCCTCTGCATGACATATAGTTTATTCACATCATTGTTAGTCTTAACTTGTATTAATAAGTAAATTATGATATAAATAAATTAAATGTTTGATAAAAAAGAAGCTTAAGGAAGTAGAAATAATTATAAATGCTTTATTGCAATAAAAATATAATTAGCCAAAAAAAAAAACTCTCTAATTTGAGACAATTCAAAGGAAATTATCAAAAAACTATTCTGTAATTTGTAGGTGACAAAGAAACAAAAATTATCGAAAAATATTTTTTATAATTTATGTGAAATCAAAGAAAATGATTTCAGCAAAAACCTTTTCAAATTAATAACTTTACAAATTATTATTATTATTATTTTGTTTGGATAATTACAAATAATAGGAATAGCAATGAAAAAAATGCAAAATGTCGTTAATTGAGGAAAATTTTTCTCGTATTTGTTAAATCATAGATCATTTACTCATTATTAATTATATCACTAACAAATTTATTTAATTCCAAATATTTATATGCGTGAAATACTACTTTAATAAAATGAAATTTAATGAAAAATGAAAATTAGGAAAATAATTAAAGATACAAATAAAACATTACCTTTTTACCTAGCTAACCGCCCACTGTTTCTAACTCACTTCTATTATAACATAGTACAATTCTGTTATCATGACAACCATATGCTTGTTTGAGTGCCATAAAAATGTTTTCCTTTTTTTCTTTTTCCTTATTATATTTAAAAAAATTTCTTTGTTATTTTGTTGCAGTAATACAGAATTTATGGAAACATTTATTGTACGCAACCAATAAATTAGCAGTGGCTGTAGGCGAAATTCTATACACAAATTTTGCTGATTAAATTATTCGAAAAGTGAAAAAGTAGAATGAAAATTCTAAAAGTGCTAGCAACTTCCATTATCACTCTTCTACAAGGCATTCATTCGATTATTACAGGTAATTTATGTGTGTGTAAGGACTTTTGTTTAAGTTGGACAATTATGAAGCAAAATTTTGCTGGAAATTTAATTTATCAGAAAATCTGTTAAATTTTGTATAATAAAAGATGGCATTCTTAATTTGAAACTTAAAATTTACACGATAACACTAATGAATGTCTCATATTATTGTTTACAAAATTTTGCCCTAACAAACAATAATTACTTTTTATTACTCCTTTGTTATTTTCTAACTTGGTCGTATTTCGTTGAAATTGATTAAAATTTTAAATTTGAATTAATATTCACTTTTCCATTTTGTTAATACTAACATTTTTATTTTGTTAATACTAACATTTTGTTAATACTAACATTAACATTTTTATTAGTACATTTTTATTTTCCATTACATTCAAATTGCTTTTATCTAAATTCACCTTTTTAAAACAACTAATCAAACTGACGAGT